TTTCCACTACCCCCTCCTTGGCTCAGGATCAGAAACCCCATGTGAGGGCCCTCAGGATGGTCTTGATGTTTAAAAGAATCCTGCCAATAACATACTGAGTTTTTTAATCTCTGCTCAGAAACTGAGATTAGAGATTTCATCCTTTTGGGTTAGGGACAGACATTCAAAAAGCCTGATTTCATAGACATCAGGGCTGGAAGGGACCTCGGAAGATCATCGAGGTCCCTTCCTGAGCCTGAATTGATTCAATTTTTGCAGGTTAGTCTAACCTGGCTAGGCTGAACCAGTTTCCAACCATACAGACAATCCTTTTGGACTGAGGAAATTCAGGGACATGCCTGCAGTGGCTCAGGCTGGATGCCAGAGGGCACTAGAGCAGCTCTCCCTGCCCTTGCAGAGCTGAGCTGAGCTGAGGGGGGCGGCCAGGTTCCAGCAGGGCTCTGATTAGGGAGTGGTGTAAACCCCAAGCCTGCCTGCAGTCCCAAGCTTTTCCTCGCTGTTCAAGGGTGGGAGTGTTGCCAGCCTCCAGCTAGCACTGAGGCAAAGGTGGGGTGTGCAGTGCATGCATCTGTTGATGATACAGAGCTTTTCACTCTCCCTCCCTGCTTCTGTATACTGTCTGCAGCAAACTGACAGGCAAGCAAGCCACTCCCACTGAGCCTGTGTTACAGGACCATTACCTCCTGATGTGCTGCTGCAAGTCAAAGTTCTTGGTGAAGGCCTTGTCACAGTAAGTGCATTTCAGTTTGGGGGATTTAGGTTTCCCTGAAAGAGAAAAAGTGCACTCTGGGCAGCTAGCACAAGTTGAGCAGTCCCCAGCTACTGTGTTCTATAGGGCCTTGACTTCCCTTTACAGTCAGGACAAAAATACAGGGCACACTCTTCAGTGGGATCTCACTGGCCAGCTCAGAGGCAGATGCTCACAGAGATAATGACATATTTAAAGTGTGAGCTAAATGTATAACCATAGAATAATAAGGGGGAGAGAACAACCAGTGCATAGATTAAACACACTCCCATGCAGAAACCACGGGCCTATTTCCATTTGCTATAATGTGTAATAGCCAAATATCAGTAGCTTCTTCAAGGCCTTCTTCAGTGTAAGCAGCAGATTGGGATTAGCAAGTAGGAGCATCCTGCCTTTGGCCTTTCCCCACCCCAGCAAGGTCAGCCACATCCTGTAAAATGCACATATTCCTTTCAGGTTATCAGAAAATCACTCAATCACATTTTCTTTGCACTGATGCACATTTCACCACTTATACAATTCCAAGCATCACAGCACTGGGCACTTTTCAAAGCACCCGGTGCTTAAACATGTAAAAATGCCCAAAGCATCCACATTTCAAACAGCTCTGGTCTGAGTATAGTACATTTTCTGTAGCATTTCAAGGTGTATATTTGCTAACAAAATGTGAGGAGTTTGCAATCTACAAGTGCAAGACAATGAAGATATAGGTATCTAGTGTTTGGAAGGTGGTTCGACATACAGAGACTTACCTTCCTGCAGCCCGCTCTCATTTTTGGAACGCCTACTTTTGGAAGCTGAGGTGGAATCAAAACTCGCCACATTTCCCCCACCTGCATTGGTCAAAGGAGCAGCAGTGTTGGTGCTTTTGCATTTGAATCCCTGCTTCCCAGGGCTGTACACTGGCGGAGATGGATACACTGCACTTTCCACACACTGGCTTGGAACCTGAAATAGTGCAGTTACCAATAAAAAATATACTTACAAGTTCAGTGAGAAGTGCTAAACCTCCACCTGCCTCTTTGATGTAACACAGGATATAAAAGCTTGTAAGAGAGGCTGTCAGACTACTGGTTTTCTAATAAAGTGTTCTGCTAAAGTATTGGAACAAGATACCTAAAGAGGCCAAAATGGGAAGTTCTGGAATATCCATTCCTGGAAATTTTCAAGAACAGGTTGGAGAGTCACTTGGCTGGTGCCTCGAGCAGGGGGCTGGACTAGATGACCTTGTGAGTCCATTCCAGTTCTACTTTCTTATGATTGCCCAAGCAGATCAATGTTCTGGTCCAGTAATCTGCCTAACTAAAGAGTGACTAAACCGCTGCACAAGGCACAACTTTGGCCCATTATACCTACTGCTACTCTTTTGCACTATTCTAAGCAATACCTCTTTCATCCCAGTTTGGCCTCTTTTCCAACATTTGTAGTCATATGCAGGCTATTCCTCCTTAATATAGCAAAATGCACATGTTCATCTCTTCTAATCTCTCCTCAAAAATCATACCTTCCAACCCCTTAATTATTTTTCTTGTCCTTTGAATTCCCTTCATCTTGTCAACATCGTTCTGAACATTACTTTCCCACAGAGGAAATAATCATCAATTATAAGACAGCATAATATATCTTTCCCTGGCTCTAATGTCTATGATAAATTGTATTTCTAATTCAGGTGACTTATGAGTAGCATCCTCTCCTTGGCTCACAAAATTGGCTTATAGAAACTGTAACCATCCCACACTTGTTGGCTGGATAGAAGAATAAAGAAGCACCTGACGCATGTCCCTGATGGTAATGCCAGCAGTGCAAGGCCTGTGTCACAGTTTTACCTCTATGGGTGGATAGGGTTGCATTCCCAGAGTCTGTATCTCCACTGTGCCATTTCCTGCCATAGGGGCAGACGTGCTGTAGACCTCTACCACCCCACTGCCACCAGTGCTTGGCTGTCCTGGTGCTCCCAGGGTCTGAGGGGTAGGCGGAGGTGGCTGCGGTGGGGGAGGAGGCGGGGGTGGAGGAGGCGGGGGAGGCTGGGAAAGATATCCAGCTCCGCTGTGCATACTCAAACTGCTCTAAAAACAGAACAAGAAGAAATAGTCAGAGAAGGCACTGAAAATGTAGCCTGGATCCAACAACATCAAGCTGGAGGTATAACATTCTCAAACATGTGCTACTCATAACTCAAGATCCCACATTTAGGCAAAGCAACTTCTTGGAAAAACTCACTTTTCCAATCAAATGCAAGCAGCTTGCTAACCCATAGAGTATTTATGGTATTAAGGGAGTAATGACCACATATTGATGCTGAGCAGAGATCAGGTCAATCTGTTTTTAAACCACTCAGTAAGCTGGTACTCTGCTGTGCTGGTGGATGTCTATGTTCTAGAGAAGACAAAGTTTCATTTCATATCTTAAGTTTCAAGCTCTTCTGCTTACAGAGACAATTTTTAGGATGTGAAGGCTGTAGTCAGTACAGTAATGCCAAAATAAGTTTGCAGACGAAGCAACAGTTCTGAGAGAGAAGTCCCATCAATCAAACTGAGCAATGACCATGAAACCCAATGATTATATTTTATCAATATTATTTCACTGTTGGGCATAGCACATAAGGACAAAAGCAGGGAAGAATATATTATGGCAAGCTGCATAATCTACTGCAAGAGGCATCATGATTGTTTCCCTGATCCAACCCTTGCTGTTGGGTTTGCAGAGGTATCCATGCTTCACCATTAAGGCAGACATCTAAGCTTGCAGACAGTGCTCTCAGGGTCTGTTTTGTTATCAGGTGGTGCCTACCTATGAAATTAGCCCATCTGAAAAATGCATCTCCTTACCTGTACAGAGGGCTGCACTGTGGGCATTGGTTGGTCCAGGGATGTAAAAGCAGACATGGCTGACATCAGTACTTCATCACTGACTAAGATATTTCCTTGCACTAGTGTTTGGATCAGAGGAGATGGGGGAACTGTGATATATGTGGAAATTTGCTGAAAGAAGGAAAAATGCGTTAGGGCTCAAAATTATTAAGAGAGATTATAACCTCTGAAATGCTAATAAAAATGGAGACATGCTCTTTACTGAACCACTGGCCACTTGCTATGGGAAACTCTGCTCTACTGATGGCCATGAGAAGATTTATTGATTTAATTTACTGATTGAATTTTTGCTTTTGGCTCTATCCTGCCATCATCTAACTGAGAGAACCAACAACAAAAAGGGAACTATATTGGAATTCCTGAGGAAACCAAGGACTAACCCATCTTGTCCTAGGAAAACTAAGTGCTCAGGGGAGTGGAGATGGAACATGGAAATCACTCTTGCTGACAATTCAAACCATGTTGGCTATTAAGGGTGACCTGTGCTGAAGATTGATTAAGATGGGGTGGGCAATTATTTCAACTGGAGGGCCATTTAGTAAGTTTTGGGGACTTGTCAAGGGCCACATCCATCTCCCTCTCTCTGTCTCTCTCTTTTCTTCTCTCTCTCTCTCCTCTTTCTTTCTTTCTCCCTCCCTCCCTCCAAAACCCAGCCAGAGCTGTAGTTTGCCAGGAGCCCTGACACTCAGCTGTGGACCCAGATCGGGACTTCTGCTGCAATGGGCAGGCAGGCAGTGGTGTCATCAGCTATGGGCACAGTCAGCAAGTTCCAGAATTTGCCAACAGTGTCTACAGCTGACGCTGCTGCCCACCCACAGCTGACACTTCTGGCAGGTTCCAGGTTGGGGTTCCAGGCAGCAGCTTCCATTGTGTAGGAGGACAGCAGTGTCACCTGTGGACACCACCAGCAGGGTCTGCATCTAGGTTCCTGAACCTGCTGGCAGCATCCACAGCTAATGCCACTGCCCACTGTGGTGGAAGCCCTACACAGGTCTACAGCTGATGCTGCGGTGTCAAAGATAGGCCCAACCCTACATTTGGAAGAATCAGCAGCCAGTTTCACAGGAACTGGCAAGCCTGGTAGGGCCATGAAACTTGCACTCAAAGCAAGAATTAGTATTACCATAACAACAAGAATGTAACTTCAAACCCATTTTTAACTCTTTACTAAAAAGCATGGAGGCATTTGTTCTGAATGAAAGCTCATAGTAAAGGGATTATCTGGACTTTGCAAAAGGATGCCAGAAGGTGAAAAACAAGGTGGGGAGGGTCAAACTAGATGTCCCAATGGGAGACTTCAAACCTAGTGTAACCAGACACAGCATTCATTCTGAGTTTCCCTCGCCCTCAAGAGTCTGTGGCACAGAGGCTCCTGGTGCCCAGCATAACTACCTGTCGATTGGCGCTCTGAGCTGGCTGCACCGATGTGATAGATGGCGTGTACACACTGTTGGTGGCCAAAGAGACCGTAGCCAATGAAGGAGTATTTCCTTGGCACTGCTCCCTCTTGTGAGTCATGAATGCTGGCAGTGAGTTGAACTGCTTCTTACACTTTCCACACAAGAACACATCCTCATCATCTGTAATCAGAAGGACAAGCACTGTTATCTGGCTCCTTCCCCCCATCAAACCACATAGCTGCATTCAGGTACAAGTAGGGTTAGCAAAAATAGATGCTTTAAGCCTGTAGTGCCATCACAATTACAGGAGAGTGACTGAATTCTATTCTTCCCTGTGTAGTTCCAGCCCCTTCATTAGCTGAGTTCTCCTTGAAGGATTTATCTCCTCATGGAGGAGAAATATATAGCCAGCCCTAGTATTCCCATAGCACTGTCCATCTAAGCCCAATAGCTTCCAAAACATTCACAATACCCTAGTAATCACAACATTGCCTCCAAGTGAGAAAACAGGCACACAAAGTTTAAGGGTCAGATCCTATTCCATGTATTAGGTGCTTAACAAGACCTTAGGTACCTAGGCTTGATCTTATTCCACCCTGCACAAGTCCCTGAAAAACAGTTCATGCAAAAAGATCCTTTTTCTGCTCTGTACTTTCTGTGACTTAGTCATAAGGCTAAGATGTTATGTTACAAAATGAGCATGTTAACTTCTTTTCAGAGACTTAAGCAAGGTGGAACAGGATTGCTCTGAGTAGAAGTGTACCGATCGAGATTTTGGGGGCCGATTCTGATAGCTGATTTTTAAGAAGGCATATTGGCTGATACAATCCAACTTCCAATACAGCTGTAGACAGCTGGTAAGTCTGTTGTGGTGAAAGGGGAGGGAAGGGACATGGGTGGGGAGCAGATCAACGCCCCCTGCAGTGACGGAGGGAGTGGGGCTGGGGCTGGGACGTTGTGCAGCACTGGGAGGGGAGCTTTGTGGGGTGGCCTGCAACTACCCCAAATTTTGCCATAGGCCCCCCCCCCCCCCATAGTTCCCTCCCAGTGCCACCGCCGCCCGCCCTGAGTGCAGCATAGCCCCCAGCCCCAGCCCCCAGCTGCAACCCACCCCACTCAGATCAAGAGGCACATACCCCACCCCCACGCCCTCCCAGACAAGCTGCCAGATGAGCCCCATGCAGCAGTGGAAGCCCTCCAGGCAGCAGGTAGCATGTGGAAGCAGTGCACCACTCGCCCAGCCAGGCAGCTCCTGCCCCACGCACAAGGCTCCAGCTCTAGCTCCTAGCTGCTTTCCACCCACTCAGCCACCCACAGTGACGAGCAGCCACCAGTGGGCGGCCGAATGGGTGGAAGGCGGCCGGGAGCTAGAGCTGGAGCCCTGCACTCTGGGGCAAGAGCTGCCAAACACAGCATGGGTACAGGTATGGGTAGAAGCATGATGCAGGCTGCTCAGAATGGGAGCAGGGTAGGGCTTAATCCCACACAGAGTGGTGCCTGGCAGCTGTAGGCTGGGGCAGGAGGAAGTGGGGCTGACCACACCTGCACTGCACCTCCCAGTTGAGCTCTGCTGTATGCACCCCCCGCCCCCCCCCAACCTCATCGTACTCCCAGCCAGCTCCCGGGACCTAGCACAGGCAGCTTCCCTGCACACATAATCCGCCCACACTCACCCACACACAACCCCCAACCACACAATATACGAGACTAAGAATTTATTTTGAGCTATTATGCAATCACCTCTATATAAGCTACTCAAAAAAACATAAATCAGGACAAAAATTATTTATTTGAATAAGATTAAAATATGTTATAGTAGATGTTTGATTTTTAGTATACGATTTATTTTTTATCTATAATTTGGTAAAATGATATCTCCTGAAAGATTTTGTGTGTGCAGCTCTCAGCAGCTCACCAAAACTTGTTAAGCAGCCTGCCAGCAGAAATAATTACCCAGCCCTGTGATAAAGAAACAGCAGCAAAATCAGAACAGAACCCAGGTGTGCCTGCCAGCTCCCTTCTTGAATAGCTAGCCTTCAGTACTTCCCTTTGACACAAGCAGCAGAAAAAAATTCAGCTTATTCAGCAATTCCTACATGAAGGTTGCAGCACTGACACTCAAACATTTATGTGATTTGTAAATTGAACGTGCTGGGCATAAAAATCACTGAGATAAAGAAGTGCAGCTGATTCTTTTGAGCATCATTGCCCTGTCTTCTTTGTGATAGTTCCAGCAGGGTCTGGAATGACACCATGTTGGGATACAGGGTGTAAGAAGCCTAGGGGGCTAGGTGAGTCCCCACCATGCCATGGGATGCTGAGATACAGATCTAGTCAATCTACAAGAAATAGACTGACTAGATAGGTATGTCTTGTACTCCTCCCAAACTGGGATATTCTATACAGAAGGCAGCAAGGAGAGGGGCTGACTAGGCACAGGTGGGGCTCCACTTGCACATATGCCCCCTTACCTGAATGAAGGCAGCAGCGATGGCAGCAGAGGCAGCGACAGGGACAGCAGCAGCTGATCCCCCTAAGGTAAGTGGGGAGAGAAGCCGGCGTAGCTGGGGCAGATCTGGAGGGGAAGCCCCCCGGATCCCTTTTAGTTGAGCTGGCAGGGAGCCGTGCTCCCGAGCCGCATGCTAACAGAGCGTGCAAACAAATGCACTCTGTAAGGGCGTGGCAGTGTTTGCGCCGACGTTAGTGCAAGCAGGCAAGCAGGAGGGGACAGGAAGAAGATTTCGGCAAGGGTAAGGCGAAGGCAACGCACCAAAAAAACAAAAAACAAACAAAAAAAGAAATAAAAATGGTGTGGACATGGAGTTCTGGTAGGGGCCCTGCCCGGGGGGCGCCACCCACCCGGGGCTTCTCTGAGGCCTCCCGAAGAGCCCACGGGGGGGGGGG